ACATGTGAATTTCACATTTCACATTTAAACCGCAAAACTCACAGTATGAAACCAAAAAGATGAGGGACTTAGAGTATATTGTAGTAATTCACCGGCTACTTTCAAAGAGATAAACTTTGGACTTCCTTTCAATGGTGTGAGAGTGTGTGTCACATTGTGGAAACTGACCAGTTTTCTATGCTACCCCCTCTCCAGAGAGAACTGCCTTCTGCACAGCCATCCATGCCAAGTTGACGGCACCTTTTTAAAGACCATCACGCTGACTTTCAGGAGACAGGAACACAAGTATTATGAGCCTTATCTTGTCAGCGGATCCAGTTGAAGGAGCTGTGGGCTCGTGAATTGTGATGTCAATGGTGCTGCCCCCACGCTCTAATCTTTCAGCCTCCAAACATGTCTGCTTCACAGACACTGACTAATTAATATCCTCTTTTCTGTGCACCCAAGGGTATGTTATAAGGAAACAGTGATGTGTGACTTTTCAGGTAAACAGGGATGAATTTATATCTATGGGCCAAGGGGAAAGAAACAAAAATGTATAGAACTAAACACTTGCTGAGTCTGACTTCACATTCATTGTTTTTATTTAAACCCCACCACAATCTTGACAAGGCGAGGGTCTTTGTGTGAAGGTCTCCCCACCACTTTTAGAAATGGGGAAATTGAAATTCATAAGTGTAATTTTTCTGATAACTGGTTACAGCGAGGGCTGAGGCTAGGGTTGGAACTCGGGTCTGCTGGCTTCCAAGACTACATTCGTTCTGTTCCTCCATAGAACTGAAGGCAGAAGATTAGCACCTCTGTCGGCCTTGTTATTACCCTCACTATTTGCAACAGGCCTATTGATAGCTTTTATTAGCTGTTTGTATGTGTACATGCATTGTGGGTACTCTTGAAGTCAGAGACAGCATTAGATCTCCTGGAGCTGGAGTTTCAGGTGGCTGTGTGCATGCTGGGGACAGGATTTGGGTTCATTGTAAGAGCAGAAGGCCCCTGGGATGCTGGGCTATCCCTCCAATGGTGCTATTAAGCTTTAATAGTCACAACATTCCAAACTCTTGAGGTCTCAGTTCTTGCGGCACTTCTGATTCTATGTGGCCGTCGTGCTCTTTCTCAGTTCAGAAATGGCAAATAGTTGGATTTGGTACTAGAAGTCATTTTGGCCTCACTGTCGTCTTAAAGGCAATTTTACATGGGCTCAAACTCTTGGACTTGCAAAAAATCTAGAATTGAGAACAATGTGAGCTTTGTCCTCAAAAGTCCAATGCATAACAAAGCAGATGTTTCAGCCTGTGACGAAAAGCATTCTTACTGATGTCTTAATAGGGAAACACAGACTGTTCTTAGGGCTTATCATCCCACCAAGTTCACGGATGCTAGAAAATTACCGCTCAGCCTGCTATCTATTTTTCTACCCCAATTTTCCCTGGACCAAAGGGCACAAGGCTAAACGATAGTCCCATTGCTATTCATTCTTTTATCTGCGGCCAGATTAAATCCCATGCCCTGCCTGATTCTCTTCAGCCCTTGAGAGGTACAGCTCTGGTCCTTGAGATTCAGCTGCTAACTGACGTCTAGACACAGACAAGCACCAAGATTCCTGCCCTTTAAGGATGATGAACCTGAGAATCCTGGGCGTCTTTGCTCCTTCCTTCCATGGGCAGGTGGAAAACTAAAATTCACGTGAGAGTTATGACTGATTAACAGAGGCTCCGTGATGGCGTAGCCCTTCTGTGTTCCTGTTTGAGCTACTCTCTGACCGTTTCTTTCCAGGGAAGAGTGTCTTGTTTCTTTCCTATGATTTAAGAATAGGCATTGAGTCTCTGCAATTCTTCATCCAGTGTCTGATGTATCAACTCACGTTCGTTCAATAGATGACCTCAACCCATAGTAGACCACCAACCTCAAGAATCCCATGCCGCCAGTACCAACAAAGCAAGCAGACTCCCCTGGCTCTGAAGAAGATTATGAAAGAGTTTGGTCTAGGGACACGTGACAAGTGCATGCAGAAAACTGCCCTAACATCACCATATCACTCTTCTAATTGCCTCGATGTCATCCTTCCATCTGAGCAAAAACAAACTAAATCTCTCCCATTCCCCCCTCCCACCAAAAAAAAAAAAAAAAAAAAAAAGCAAAGATCAGTTTTACAGTACAAAAATTTTATTTTTTTTGTTAGGATAATTTAAAGTTTAAAACTGAAGTAGACATATTCATTTTACAAACAAGATTTTTTTTTTCATAAGGAAGACCATTAAAAACAGTAAACAAACAAACAAAAAGCCGTCTTTACAAAAAGCTCTGTGCATAGCAACTTTATACTGTATGTAACTGACAAAGCAAAGAAAAAAAAAACAACAACAAAACTATACAGTTTGGAAGGGAGACCGTACTGTACAGAAGGTGAAGACAATGGTTTTTAAACCATGCATGTTGAAATGTGCAAAGAAAAACTGGAAAGAATTGATGCTGTTAACAAAAGGAATCAGATAAATAATGAAGTAAGTTGTCCCTCTAAATGAAGAATCTTACACAGTTCCTCTCAAAAACAGAATTCTGTCCTTACCTATAAAGATACTTGTCTGCCAAGCGGCGCAAAAAAAATAACCTGGGACCAGAATCATTTCATAGCAATGACCAAAGAGGACAGAGTGACTTTGTTTTTTTAATTTATTAGTACACTAAAAGTAATCCTTACACACGTTTGTACAATTAAATAGATCTGTGGCTGCCGAGGTCCTAGTGAACGGTCAAAGATGTCCGGTATTTAGTTACACACAGTCTTCGGTGTAAAGCTACTGACACAGTCTACGATCATTCTGAAGACAGTACTGCACTAATCTTCATGCAAGAGAAAGAGTCACAGGTTTCTAAAAGCTATGCTACTCAAAAGGAAAAAAACAAACAAACAAAAAGTTCTTATGTTGGATTGGCTCAAATCCAGGTCTAAACATGCTTAATTTTGTTTTGTCTCCATTTGGGGATGGTAAGGTAAGGTTTGTAACCCACACATTCTTTGCCCCGGGTTGGGATTGCTAGCCAGGGAAGTTTTTTCTCATGCACTTCCGTATGTTTTGGCGCTGTTGAGCCCTGACTATGAAGGACTTTGAGCAGCAGTTATGAGCATGCCAGGTTCCTAAAATTGTGGATTCTTATGTGTGCAGAAAAAATTAGAAAACAAACAAACAAACAAACAAAAAATAAAAAAATAAAAAAAAAAAAAAACAAAGTCACGCTGGGTAATTCCAGAGCAAACTGAAGGCATAAAACAGTCGAGGGCTGGGTAAGTGAAAGGCGTGGACCGCTGGGGACAACGAGAGGGTCATCTAAGGTTGGCTCAGAAGTACTCATGGTGCTCTGTCCACGAAAGCTGCGTCGGTTTTCCAGCAGCCTGGCCGAGAACCCCCAGCTAAGTCTGTGGACTCAGGGAGAAGGCCCTTGACCTGGAGGATCATGATGAGAGTCTCCCACTGTTAGCATCTACGCTGAGAACCCGGTAGGTGGCTCGGGGCTCCCGGGGCAGGATGCATTAACGCACCGCCTGGAGCACGGCTGCCAGCGGCCTACCGATGGCCCAGGAATCCCAGCGCCCTGTCTTGGGGCAGGAGAAGAGAGGCTTGAGGGGGTTTTCGAGTCTCTCTCCTTCGCCCGAGCCCGCTCCTCCAGACACAATGTCAGGCGAGATCCACGCTCTTTGGGGGGGAGTTTAATAACATAAAAGGAAAACTGCATAGAAAGGAAACAGTCGGAGACTGAGTCTTAAGGAACACACCGGCCTGCCCAAACTCTTTCCGCAAAGCCCCGGGGAGCCTCCAGCCTCGGCTCCTGGATCAGGCACCCAGAGAAGAAGGGCTGCATGGCAATGCCAGGGAGAGGTTCTGAGCCCCCTTAGTCACTCAAGTCTCGTGGCTTTGGCCCTTCTTGGAGGTGAGATGCTTCCTTGCCTAGGGATGTTCAAAGCTGCATTGCTCAGGGAAGTGTGTGTGTGTGTGTGTGTGTGTGTGTGTGTGTGTGTGTGTGTTAAATGCTTCACCGAATGTGGACACCACAAGTGACCCGTGAACTAGAAAGCAGATCTGGGACTGAAGCGTTGGGTTAGAGTGTTCATGTCCGGCATCTATCTGAGTCTGGTCTCGTGGGAAGGTTGGTTCTCTGGGAATCTGCACGTTACATGTTCTTGTGTTATGGGTCGATAAAACGATGGAAAAAAGAGGGGGATGCGGGATGTAGGATAAGAATCTAATAAGCAACTGTAATAACCACACGCCGTTGAAACTTGTCACTACCTGTTTGTGTCAATTTCATTTTACATCAGGAAGAGAAATTCCTCTCTTCTAAAAAAAAAAAAAAAAAAGGTCTTAATTTCTACTTCTACTTACAATAAGTTACACGTTTATTTATTTAAATAACTGTAAAACATTTTAAATTTTTTCCCTTTTTGTTTTTTTTTTTTTGTTTGTTTTTTGTAAGAGCTTAAAGTATAAGCAAACACGCATACATTTCCTCGATCAATTCAGGTTTCATTTTAAGAAAGTCTTCCATGCTGGTACCCTGTTTTGTTCAATTTTTTTTTTCTGCATAAACTAAATTGGTATCTGAAAGGATTCATAGAAAATAGAAACTTTCAACTTTTTTCCTACAAAGAAAAACAAATAGTATCCAAAATATTAAGCATGAATGTTTGCCAATGTTTTTCTTAAATATTTTACAAACATAGGAAGGTGTTTTTCGTAATGTTCATAACAAAGAATTGCATTTCTGCTCTCAGCACTGACCACATCAATGACCTTTGTCTGTCCTTGTCTCCAAAAGGGTCAGTTTGTAGAGTTACTGTCAGCTTCAGGAGGAACCGTGAGACCAAGATGGCGGCTCTTTGCCTTTCCAAATCTGTCCAACGTGGCCACCAGGGGGCGCAAGTCTCCCCCAGCAAGTTCCAGAGTACTTCCTTCATGACCGGTCCATTGGAACAAGTAGTTTTGTGCTATAGTTCTTCCTCTGCTTTACATCGGGGGTACGACAAGTCCCGTCATGGCTGCAGGGAAAGAGCAACACGGGATTGAAATATCAAGACCTTTTTTTTTTTTTGGTGAAGCTGATCACAGGAATGACAGCATCTAAGACAACCCAGGGAGATGGTGAGGCGTTCTTAGGTGAGCGGGTTCTCTCCAGGACTGGGCTAACAGAACCTTCGGTGCTGGCATCCTATATCAAGTCCCTACGCTTGGTTTGCAAGCACCTTAGCATTTCTGTATATTGAGACATCATCCTGGGACAACAGAAGTAAATGTGCAAACCAGATTGCAACAGGCCTGTCACTAGGTGGTAAAGTAGGGAAACTCCAGGCGCTGAGCCTGTTGGCTTCCTAAGCATCGGTTATAACAAAGCAGGCTTTTCGCTTCATCCTTAGGGTCTTCATAAACATTGTACCCTAAACTGGATTGGTACTTTAAAAAAAGGTTGTTCATCCTTGTTCAGTGCTCACTGATGGGACATAGAGAGATTCACTCGGAAATGCTGGTCTTCTGGGAAAGAGCACAGATGGTTCCTGATACGGGAGTCAAGCCCGTCCCCAGTTCCCATGCCCCATCCAAGTACATCACCCATTGCCTCCTCAGTCTAGTCAGGTGTTGTGCACAACGCTTGCCTGGGCAGAATCAAGCCCGGTGTTTTCCCTCCCTCTGTGTGGAGCATGAACAAAGGGGGCAGATCACAACTCTCTGTCCCTGGCTGCGTTGTCTGTGTTGTAAGGAGCCTGGAGAATTTTACATGGACAATGACAAAAGTTCCCTTGTAGCCAAACTTCCAGCCATCTTTGAAATTTGATTCCCAGATTTTTCTTGTCTACCTATATGGCACAGAGAGGAATAACAGATCTTATACAAGCATCTTTCTGAGTGATGATTACTATGATGCTTCCAAGCAAATGGCCAAAATTCTGACCATTCCAGCTCTCCCCAACCCTGTCTCTTTCTCTTCCCTCCTGTCGTTTCCTTCCCCCTCCCCTACCCCCCTTTCTCTACCCCAGCCCATTCTCTCGGGCAAAATTGTCAGCTGTCTGTTTCCCTGCCCATACAGCCTTTATTGAATGTTTGTGAGATCTGGATTAAGGTCTTACACAGCTAGCAAAGCCTTAATTATTTTTGCCTGTATTACTATATATTGAATCGATGTAAGTTTTCAATAAAGGCAGTTCAATTCTGGACACTCCCTGATGACTTGGAGATATAACAACTGCTGTAATTATCCAGGAGTGTAGGAAGTGTGGTGGTGGTGGTGGTGTGTGTGTGTGTGTGTGTGTGTTTCTGGAGGAGCTAGAAAGTGAATCAGACTCTCAGCATATAAGATCACCTTGATAATCTATATTCATCAACTGTAAATGCCTGAGAAGTAAAGCAGAGAGCGGGACAGAAAATGCTGTAACTGTGGTGTTTAGGTGGTAGAACACTGACTCATATTCCTGCCATTTCCTCCTTCATTACACTCAATGCTCTTCAGCCCTTCTTTCCAGCCTCAAGATTTTACTGAGTTGCATACAGGAAGTCAGAGATACCCAAAGGCTCTGATTGGCAGATTTCACCTATGCCCTTTCTCCTGGTTCACCCACACTAGAGGGGCTGGAACTCTGCTGGATGATGACCTTGACTTTGCACTTAGAGAAACTGTAGCCAACAAACAGAAAGATAGAAATTCACGTGGCGGGGGAGCATTTGCCCTGGTGACGTTCATGGTGGAGAGAAGCCTAACTGCACCATGTCCAGGTCAATTTTCCACCTCGAGCATATTACAGAAAGGCAACACCCTCCTTCTGTCCTGCTGGCAAAGCAGATACCAGTAAAGGGTGGGCAAAGAGAGGAAGTCCACCATCACTATCCCTGGAGGCAGTGGGCTGTCAGAGCACAGGTTCTGGAGCCCGAGTGTCTAGCTAGATTCAAGCCATCAGCCACTTGCTGCATAGCCTCAGACAATCCGCTCTGCTAAGTGAGGTGAATGGGCATGATCTAAAGGAGGAGGGCAAGTGGAGCGCTCGGTGCAGTGCCTTGCACACAGAGCAAGTTTTACGAAGTATTGTCTACAGGGCGGATCATGAGGCTGGGGCCTCCGCCTCCTCACTCTGTTCTCCTTCCCGCTGAAACTTGATGAATGAAGGCAGGGAACGTAGAGAGCAGAGACATCCTCACCAAGGGGCTGTGAGGAGGGGGGACACAGCAGATATGTCCCCAGTGGTGTTTATTTCCCCGGATGTAAATATGATCCTCATGGAGAAAGTTCTAATTCCTCCCTGGGTAACAAGGTGGAGTCCTCGTGTGTTTGACGAGAGGCAGGATGGGTGGAGACACTTGGTTACAAGCTGTGCTGTCTCTCTACGGCTTAGACGTCTGGATGAAAAAAAAGAAAAGTTCCTCTGCTATACAGATGTTTCCAACTACCTACATGTTGGGTGGCACGGGGCTCCGGCAGCCTAGTCCTACCAAGAGGAATTCTCAGTGGCTCTTTCAAGAGCTGGGTTTCCAGTAATGGGTTTGACAGTTTCTCTGTCATCTCTGTCAAAATGTCACAGCCCGTAGGAGTGGAAGGCCCGGAAGAGCAGCACGCCTTTCAAGTTCTCACAGGTTACCTCCAGAAGATTTGGACTACACAGGAAAGAGCTGGGGGTTCCCAGAACAACACAGCCCATCTCAGGTCCCCACGAAGCTCTGTTGACCAGCACTGCCTGTCACGAATGTTTTCGTGTCAAAACACGAGAAACAGCCAAAAATAATGTGGGTCACCGGTGAGCCGTGGTGCTCGGCAGTTTCCAATTTGCTCTCTTGCCATCAGCTGCCTCCCATTCTCGGAGGGATGATTAGATTCTCATGTACTCATCACATTTGTGTTACGTCATGTCATATTACATTTTAGGACGTTGTTCAAAAGTGGGTTTGACGGGTGATATTATTATTATTTTTTTTTGTTCTCAGGAACAGTATGGCTTTTCCCTCTTCTTTCCCTATTTCACCCCTTGATCAGGCACCTGCTATCAATTTGGCTAGCATAGAACCAGAGTTTCTGCTCCTGACGGATCCTCCCACATGTGCCGTGGGAATGAACATGAATTGCAGATGGTAGGGCAGTTAGATAAGAAAAAGCACAGGCGGCCTTTGGAGGGCTGAACAGTGACTGGCCCTACCTATGGCAAGCACGATTCTGGGCCGCCCGTGTTCCTGAACTGGACATGTGTCTCTGCCACCATTAACTCCATGTCCTAGAGATGTTTGCCTTGTCCTCATTCACCCCCATACCAAGCCAGCACTAGGTATAGAATCAGGCCAGCACATCCGGCCTTTGTGAACCACCATGAAAGTTCCAGGACCTCTGTGGTCAAGTGCTCGGAGCTGTAGAATGGAGCTGAGATGCTTGCTCTTCCTCTGCAGGCCCCAGAACACCTGGATCGCACGCTACCCCCCCCCCCCGCAAAGCATTCTCCTCAATTACCTCTGAATCCATTTCCGTTGCCACTGGAGCAGGCGGGCGAAGGGGAGCCTTGGGGCCTGATGACAGGGGCAAAGGCACTCTTCTGCTTGACGGCGGGAAAAACGGAAGAGGAAAACGGGAGGATGGAGGGAGTGCTGGAGGATCCAACGGTGGGGCTCGATGACATGACTGGAAGGCAAGGTGTGACACTCTTTAGGAGGGGGGACGGGCTCGTCAAGGAACCACGTGTTCTTAACATACACACTCCCCCTCAACTTGCTTGAGAAATTATCAGCTCCCAAGTGTTGGTCCAGGCTCCAGCAATCGAAAACAAAACTTGAGGGACCTTCATACCGATTTCCATAATGGCGGGGTCAATTCACATTCTTGCCAGCCATATGTACGTGTTCTCCCCCCACACACATACCACACTGGTGCCAGCATATAATGGCTTTATGTAGCTATAAACATAGCTGTAGTTTGTGTGTGTGTGTGTGTGTGTGTGTGTGTGTGTGAGAGAGAGAGAGAGAGAGAGAGAGAGAGAGAGAGAGAGAACCATTCTGACTGGAATGAGACGTAAGAAAGACTCTCAGTATTGTTTTGATTTGCCCTTACCTTACAGCTAAGGTAATGGAAAAATTTTTCACGGGTACAACAGGACCATTCATACATGTTTCAGGAATTATGGCGAGGCAACTAATCCATTCACTGGTTGGGCTACCAGGAGATCGTCGTGTCACGTGCAATAGGTCAGATGCAGAAGAGATGGTAGCACACGGAAATTCTAGCGCTCGGGAGGGAGGCGGCAGTACCTGTGGTTGTAGTACCTACCGTTCTTTATAGCTACATCAAGCCGTTAGTGCATGTGTGTATGTGTGTGTAAGCATATATGTGACATGAAAGCGGAACGAGGGATGAGCATGAGAGGACCTGAGAGAACTCATCTATCGAAACCCAATACTGTATACAGTGACTATATACCAACAAAACAAAAGAGAGAGGTGAGGGGAAAATGTTGAATGTGACAATATTATTTCCTTGACCAGGAGGGATAGACACATAAAACAATGACTGCAGCAATGATCCCAGTAGAAGAAAGGAAGGACGTGTGAGAAGATGGAATGCTCTTTCAACCGGTAGGGCCTACCTTCATTATAGAAATGGCAAGAGAGAAAAAAATCCGTACACAATGCAAACCTCTTTTCACCCTAAAAAGATGCCTTATCTGTATCTATGAGCTGCCCGGCAACTCCCCTGCCTCGAGGGTTGACGTCGAGGGCTAAGATTGCCATGATTGCCCTCTCCATAGCTACTTCCTCACTCAGTGTGGGAGTTTATTAATATTCAGAAGATGACCTCCCTCTCTGGACTCTCAGTGCACTTGGGAAATAAAGCTGAAATTCAGTCTCCCCTGACATAATGCTCAGAGAAAAACCACCAAGAGTAACAATATTAACATTAAAAATGACTTAAGGGGGGGGCCAAGGGCCAAGTGGGGTAATTTCCAAGGAAAATAAAGGCAGTTTAAACAGTGAGCTCCCCCCTCCCCCATGGCACACACTCCACCAAGTTACATCAGACAAGAAGATCTTATTATTTGTTACTAAGCTCCCCCAGAAGGAGCAGATGAGCTGGGGAGAAACAGCACTGACAACTAAACACAAGGTGACTTGAAGGTCAGAAGCTTTGGCATCCCGAGGTAGACACTAACCTCTCTTTCTCTGTATCTCAACTGCACCTACAGCCATCACAGACAGCGTGTACAATACGATGTCTTTCCTCTTAGTGATTTGTTTTGTTATTTTTAGTCATGTCTGTGTGTGAGTATGTGTACATGAGTGCAGGAATCAAAGGAGTCCAGAAGAGGGCGCTGGATCTACAGCGCTGGAGCTGGAGCTACAGGTAGTTGTGAGCTGCTCCATATGGGTGCTGGGAACTGAACCTGAGTCCTCTGCAAGATCAGCAAGAGCTCTTAACCACTGAGCCATCTCTCCAGCCCCCAGTCTGATATTGTTACAGCAGGAACAGGAGCCAAAGACATCAAAAAAGAAGAGCTTTTTCTAAGGACCACTGATACTTAGGTAGTACTGATTAAAAAGCTGTGAAGAAAGACATACCTGAGTACATCTCTTCCCATTTGTGACTATGAAGATTATATTTCATATTTATAAAATATTTTATAAGTACAAAATATTTATATTTATATACATCTATTTAAATGTCTAAATGTAAGTATAATATTTATATTTATAAATAGAAATAACACTGGAAAGGAGGGCAGACTTTCATGTTGTGCTTGAGGATGAATGTGTGGGAAGTTGGGCCAGTTCCTAGTGCTACAACAAGCTTCAGGGCTCATCGTTAGGAGTGGATCTTGTGTATGGTTCCAAGCCTAATATCATCTTCTAACTTTGGCTTAGGAACAATAAAATTTAAAACAATGCTTTCAACATGCTTCCCCCTTCTTTTAATATCAGATTAAGAGGCCAAAGGAAGGCTGAGAGTCAGGAGGCTCTTGTTCTAACCATGGTCTAACCTCTACAATATCAACTCCTCGGTATAGACACCAAAATGACTAGATTCTGTTGTTGTAATGGCCCCACTCAAGCATGGCAATAGAAAAGGCTCTTTTTAAAATATGATATTGCTATTAACCTTTTGAGAATGTCACAAATGCATAGAATATATTTTGATCATTTATTCCTCACTTCTCTCTCTAGCTCTCCTAGATCCACCTTAACCTCCACAACCCCTCCAAACTTTATGTCCTTTTCAAAAAAAGTAATCTACCAAGTCCCACTTGTGCTATCCATATGCTCACAGGAGGGGGACTGTCCACTAAATAGTGGTCTACCTACTAGCAATCACATCTCAGTGAAAACCGACTCTCCCTTCCCCGGAAGCCATCAATTGTCAACAGCTCCTGAGCTGGAAGTAGGGGCTTGGTGATTCCCTCTCCCCTCCATGATGGAACGCTGACTAGCTCAATCTTGTGCAAGTAACAGAGAAGGTTCTCCAAGTGTAAGAAGAATCCACATCTGTTCATGCACATAACACATGTACACACATACGTGTAAATAACACATGCACACACACATACACACATGTACAAGCAGAAATGCACACAAATGTACATATACACACAACACGTTGCACACACATACACATGTACAGACAAATACACACATGTACATATAAATAAACATATGTATGCACACATAACACAGGCACACAAACGTATACACACATGCCATTCCACTCATGCCTGCACGTATCCCATTTTTACAAATACTTTTTCTAACATGCTGATTCAGCCTCCTACAGCACGGCTCAAGCCATAACAGCTTCTCCGGGGACGCTTTATCAAGTGACACAAAAGAGTTGTGGCAGAGTTGACAAGTGCAAACCCCCGTAAAGACATCTCTCAAACATTCTATGAAAAATGACAAATGACACCCAACCTAAATTGTAACTTAAAGTATTTGAAGCAGAAGCCTGAAAGGAGTTCTGCGCATTTCAGCCGGCGTAACTTCTAGCTTTTACTTCAATAACCATACCACAACAATGTTTTGTGGACAAGGCGAGCACTGCCGTTAGCTATTAAAAGATATGATAGAGATAAACCTGCACTATACTAACAGAGAGGAGGACGCGTGGCTGGAGGGAACAAGGTCCAGAGACGGACACGGTGAGAGATGGGAACGGATGGTTACTGAAGGTGCTAGAACAGGTCGTGTAGCTGGGAGTTGATGCACAAAGCTAACTCACCAATTAATGGGAGGCAAAATAGACACAATTTAGAGTCCTTCCTTGTGTTCAGCGTGAAAGCAAATCTGAGTAGATTATGGAGCTTTTTGCAAAAATAAAACTGTGGAAGTGGCAGGAAACACCTCAAAACTCTTAGGCAATGTGCACAATTCTTTGAACCACAAAGTCACAACAGAAGTGGAAAGATAGAGTTGACCCGCGATGAAAAAGTTTCTGTAACTCACATATGCACAAGAAGCAAATGACAAAGCAAGAAAAATGTTTGCAATATGCATTTCCTGTGTATATGCCCTTGATAGCTAGTGTGTTGCTGTAAATTAATTAGGGAAAGGAAAGAAAGACAGGCAAAGAACACAGATGAAAAGGCTGAGAGACCTGACCAGAGAGGTATTCCAACTGAAGAATTATAAAACAGCAGCGACAAAGATGACAGAATGCTGCTTTTCATTTATTAAATGGATAAAATAAGAAAAGCCCAGCGGGTGGCGAAGCACATGCTGACTCTGTCCCAAGGAGAGAGATTCAATCCCTCCAGAGGGACTTTGGCAATACATAGCAGAGTATGTTCAAATGTTCATATCATCTGACCCACAAGTCTAATCTCTAGAAATTAATCTCAAAGGGACAATCACAAATGTGCCAAAAAAAAAAAAAGATTCAACAATTTACAACAATAAGAAGTTGGGAAATAATGACCCACAGTAGAATAAAATTACTAAGCCCTTACAATGGAATGTTAAAACAAACAACAGCAAATCAATGTAAACTAGTGTTTGAGAAGAAAATTAATAACTGTTAATACATTCCTTTGTGATGAACAAAGCAGATTATACCATAACATATACATCAGCCTCAACCTCACTTCTTCTTTTGTTTTTGTTTTTGTTTTTGTTTTTTTTCTTTTCGAGACAAGGTTTCTCTGTGTAGCCCTGGCTGTCCTGGACTCACTTTGTAGACCAGCCTGTCCTTTAACTCACAGAGATCCACCTGCCTCTGCCTCCCCGAGTGCTGGGCTGACTTCTACTTAGAGAAAAAAAAAATACAAAGCAAAGTGTAGAGGAATGTGATCAGACATTTGATTTGTGGTATCTCTGGCTGACAAAACTGTATTTTCAAACGTATCCCTTTCACATGTCTCTATTTTCTATGATGGAAATATATTGCTTGTGATATAGAAGAAAACAAAGTTACTAAAATTGAAAAATAGGGAAAATATATTTTTTATGGTAAGAAATAACAGGATTATTAGCAAAAGGCCCCAAATTTTCCTGTGTCCATCGTCCTCTTTATAGCTTGGAAAGAAACATCTCTGTTAATTCCTCTGACAAATGAAAAACAGACTAATTAATTGTCCTGGTTAATTTTAGGTTTTCTCTTCTTCTTATATATTTGACACTAGTTAAAAATCATTTTGGAAGAGA